CTTGAAAATGTCACCTGCGTGATAAAATGGCTCTGCTGTATTTTCTGCTCTATGACTTGGCCACTTGGTGCTGAAGAGCTGCTTTTGATGTCAGTGAACACGACAGAGCCATGAGCAGCGTGCTGCACAAGATGGGGCATGTGGGCTCTGGGAGATGGAGCTGCTGCACTCAGGGCAGGGTTTGCATTTGCAGAGCACAACTCCAGCACTGCTTGGGACATCAAACAAGGTGAAAGCACAGGCAGTCCCTCTGAGGGAGCTCACTCTGTGGTCACCCCACTGAACAGTCAACCCAGGGCCCCAGCACGGTGGTGGTTTTGTTCTTGTGGCCACACCTGGTTGAAAACAACTGAAGTGAACCCTCAGAGCACATGGCAGATGGGAAGAATTTGCAGGTACTTCCTACCCAAGCCAACTCCTGCAGTGTCTGCAAAAAAAAAACCCAAGAGTAAAGTCAGTTGAAGCTTAAATAGTGTCTGAGGCCAAGCAGTGAGGTTGTCACAGGGTCTTGTGTCTCATGCCACCACTGCTCCCTGTGCCCAGAGAACTGCAGAGCAAATGTCAAAAAATAATCTCACCCTAGAAGCCTGACCACCTCATCAAGCCTGACCCCCACAGTTTACTTCAAAGCTTGCAGTGCCTTTTGCTGAAAAAAAGGATAATCTTTACAGGACTCTTTCCTTATCCCCCTTCCCTCCTGGAATATTGTATATTTTGAAGCTGTCATTATAAAACTCGAGCAAAACACGGGGGATCTTGTTCTGCAGAGTGTTGCTCTGAGAGCAGTTTTGTAGAGTTGGTGCAAAGCCGTGAAAAACACGGCAAGCTCGGAAGGCTCCCATTTCGCACTCACTTGGTGTGACTGTAAACAACCACACAGCGATGGAAAATCCCGGAGCAGCGTGCAGGACTTCACTGGCCTTCCAGGGATTCAACAGAAAGGCTGTTATTTATAAATCTGGAAGTGAAGCGTTAGGGATGCAAAGTTCTCACTCACACGGTGCTGGACAGGAGGGTTTACCAGTGCAATCTTTCAGGACTCTAAGGAGAATTACACAGTTATAGTTGCAGGCACCAGTGTGAAAATATTGTCACTGAGCGTGTAATTCTGTGCCTGAGGCTCTCAGGACCCCTTTCTAACAGACCAGAGTGTGGATCAGTTGTAAGGAAGACTCTGTACCACTCTGGGCTTTGTAGGATCACTGCAGTCATGCACTTGGCCCAGAGATAAAATACAACTGTGTTTCATCTGGTACTAGTCATAATTTTCAGATGTTTCTTCCATGCAGTATGCAGTCGCTAGGGCATGAGCCAGGGGCTCAAAGGCTGCCTCGCTTTTCCCATTCTCCCTCAATTTTCCTTTATTTGGAAGAAATCATCTGATTGTTCCGTGACTGTTTCTGTGTCCCTGTGATGGAGCTGTTACCTGGTTCCCTCTGCAGAGCCGTCTGCTATGGGCCTGAATCATGTCACTTAAAAGAAACGTGCCCCTGAGTTTCAAGGAGCAGGGTGAGGCTCTCTCAGTTTGCCGTCACTGGCATTAAGAGCGATAAAAAGCCTTGGACAGACTTCAATTAACACATGCAATAAAATTTCCAGATCTCAGAGTGGCCTCTGGTAAAATGTATGTGTGGGTCTGATCTTGTGGGTCTCAGGCTAAGCTGTGCA